TGATATTAATGATAATTCAGCATTTTGTCCAAAATCCGTCCAAAGTCAGAAAAAAATACTCAATACTGTATTACGTACAGTGAACAATTTTACCTGTGATATAATAATATATCCTTATAATATCTGCATAATATATATTACACGTGTACTTAGGTATCAATGACCATTGGTATTATAATTGTAAATGGGCATCATTATTATACTATTAGAATCTGAGTAGAGCAAAGAAGCTTATTGTTATACAAAGATGTTTTGCAATTGCATAATGATTAAAATAAACAGATATCAAATTCACCTAAAATTATATTTTGTCCTTATAATATTTTTTATATTATTCTCTGAGTGTATTTATGACAATATCTGTGAAGACAATGTCGTGTATTACATTTATTGTCATCATTATCATTGTAAATATAGCGTGATTATTGAATAAAACTGAAAAAAAAAATTACAAAGACCGGGGAAATTTACGAAAGTAACGCTTTTATTTTTTTCAATTTTGTTTTTCTGTTATAATTCAGTTAAAATATTCCTAGAGACAGGAAAATATTTTGACAGAAAACTTATATTGGTGTATCTTATTAGTGGTAAAATTTTCTAAATATTTTTGAAATATTGTTGAGCTATTTACAGGCATTTCATACTATTTAGTGTTTTATATTTTTTTTCTTTGACAGGTTCTATGTGGATATTGATAAATTGTATGATCAAACCAAAATGCTTGATAATTTAAAAGAAGTTGCATTATGAGTTGTGCTTAGAAAAAAATTAGGAGTTTATATAGTGGTTTTTTTTTTTTTTTTTAATCGTTTTAAGAAAATTTTTTTAATAAAAATAGTAAATTTAACAGCATTTCAAAACATGTATAACTAAACTTCACTGAGAATCGTATTTCGTTAAAAATGGTTTATTGTTGCTTATTGGAATGAATTTAATTTTTTTTATGAATCCTACCTTCCCACGTGCAACAGCGGCACTCCCTTTCCAGTATCGGTCATATTTTGTTTGTCCTTATCGCCAGGACTCCCGTTCTAACGTTCGGCGGACGCTAGAGAACTCTGGCTAGTTTTGTGTAATATATCATTCGTTTTAATTTTATTGTAATATCGAACACGCATACACCATTATCAGTATTGCTCACAAAAATTTATTATCTTAAAGGTTGGTTCGGGATAGTATTTTTTTTTTTTTTTATCGCGGGGGTTCGTACCCGATAAAAATAAAACCGACATGGCAACTACGACTAAACATACANACAATTGAATTTCGTCGAATTTTACCATATACGGCAGAACGTCAACATCGTTTTTATTTTTTTATTTTAATTGTTGTTTTTTTCATACATCGTCAACCACAGACACGAACGCGATTATAATAACGCAGTCGTAATTAATATTGTTCCGACTTATAAAAATTTAAACAACATAAGATACGATTATGACGTATTAATTGTATTAAATGTATTAATTTTGTTATCCTAACTTATTTTTACTAGATTTGTTTCTTTTTTTTTACCTATTATTGTGATTGCATTTCTAATTATCACAATCTATACTGTACTATGCTTTTGAAGCGTTGTAATATAAAGAAATAAATAATTTTACTGTAGGTGATCATTTTGAATGTATTGTTTGATTGTCAATATAATAAAATTTGTAATAGATAAATCGTGTAAAATTTATGTTATATTTTATGACCTTTGTTTGGATGGTTTTCCTTTTTTCTTAGCTTTATTCAATTCTAAATCAATTCTTAAAAACTATAATTTTTACTTGAATGCTTCGTCGTATAATATAATATGTATAAGAATATCAAACCGGTAGTTTATTATTATTATTTCTATTTTTTTTTCTCATATAAACGTTCAAAGTTTTTGATAATTGACGTGATGGAGAAGAAATACTATGATTTTATAGCCCACAAAATTTTACTGTTTATGTAACTCAGCATTTTGAAACTTTCAACGCATAAAAATATTATAACCTATGTTAATATATTAGTAGTCCAATTCGACATTATCCATACATCGATTGTAATTCGATTTTAGAATTTTATAGGTTGAAAATGTCTGGATTTAATTATTATCTCATTTTATTTATAAAACCGTATCTATAATATATTATATTTAAATTTTTAGTATACAATTTTTAGATTCAAAGCTCAGTAGGGGAGTTATTGTTTACACTATGCTATTTATTTTTTCGTACGGTCTCTCGATTTCATTATTTTATAACAACGTGGACGACGTTTTCTACCAGAAAAAATTATTTAATCGAAAAATCATACGACAGATTTTGTGTTGTCTTTTTGATTAACTTTCTTACAGTACTATTGCCAAATCATTTGAGTCATTTGTGAGCTTTTAAGGAATTTTACTTTTTGGGAATTTGTTTTGCTGTTATTCGGTTATAAATATATGTAAAGACACGAAACTTGGTACTATTACTTACATTGGACTTACATTTCGCAAAACATGTTTTTGATAACAACCATAATATAGATTCGGATATTAATACAGACTGAGAAATAATAAATACCCAAATTAGCATTTACATTAATTCTGTTTCAGAAGAATTACACATACACAATTAAATAATGAAAAATATTTTTAGTAATATTTATATTTTAAACTATACAAACTGATTTTAAAAATAAAATCTTATATTAATAAATTTTAGATAATAAAAAATAACTAAATTTTTTAAATTTCTTAACATATTTATGTCTGATAATAACTCATTTTAAATAATCTCTTCTAATAAAGTAAATAATTTCTAAGTGAAACGACCAATTTTTATATTTTTTTTCCNTATATAATACTCCAGACGACGCATTCATTTATTTATTTCTATAAATAAATTATTTATTTGTAATACAATTTTTTCTAACCACGTTTTATTTTGTAATCTATAATCAATACAATAATTGTACAAGTTCATAAATAAAAATACACAATAGTTACAATAATATATTAAACGTTTTTTCAAAATCTGATATATTAAAAATAATATAAATTCCAAAAGATCCTGTGTGTTTTTTACTAGTGTACAATGTACACTTTACATTGTATACCGTATCGGCATTGGTAATAATATAAGGTAATACAAAAAAAATATTTGAAAAAGTATTATACAATTAATAAAAAAAATAATTTTTGAACATATAAAATTATGAAGAAAACATGTTTTAACATGGGATGACCATCTCACTAATGATCTATACCCCGCATGCATTAATATTTAAACAAATTCATAAATAATATTATTCAAATCAATCTTATAATACGTCTTAGACTAAAGAAATCTTATTTTTTATTTACTTCCCCGTTACCGCGATTGGATTTCTTCAACAATTTAACTCCCAACCAAGGTATAACTAATTTCCCTAGAATGACTTTTACAAATATTGAAATAACGGTTCCGATCATTGAATTAAAATACAAATTTTTTATATAAATTAGAAAATCGGATTGATTTTGCATCTCAAAAACCATGTTTATCGCAAAATATGTCTGCAATTACAGATAACACAAAATTAACACAACGTGAGTAATAATATAAATGTCAAATTATGTTAAATCAACATTTTAAAGGTCATAGATATTTCATGTGTTAAATTATATAAGTACATTAAATCTTTAAAATATTTTCATCGAGATTTTGAAAGCTGGAGAGACAGTATTTCTTATTTATTAATCTATTAAATGTTTTTTAATTGTTCGTATAAATTGTACGGTTTAATAGACAAAAATGATTAAAATGAACACTAAAAATAACATAAACAATACAATACTGTATATTACAGTTTATACATTATTTACAGATAGCAAGATTACGAATTACGCCTCATATACAAGGTAATTCATTAAAATGGGCACACACAATATCTCGGAATGTATTTACTTTTTTGAATATTTTCGTTTTAAAAATTTAAGAAAAAAGCTGGTTTAAAATTTAAGACTTAAAATATTATTTGTCACCTTAATCTGTAGGGATAAAATAAATACCTACTTTTTATTTTCAAATGGCAACCTATATTAAAAATTCCATAAATAGATCGAGTATTAGTTAAAAGAAATGTTTGTGTTTAATTTTTTTTGATGAATTTATTATCATTCAACTTGAGGAGGTAGGTAATAATATTGATAATTATTATTGTACTTTGTATCCTAATTATTTATTTCATCTTATTAGGTAACTAATTATTAGAAACCCGAAAAATAATAAGACTAATCTCTTTGGATTCGTTTAACCCTTATTTTACAAACTAGTAAGGAATAGTTCATCATGGTCAAAATAAACAAAACCTCAACTCTTACAGCAATAAACAGATTGTGAAGAGGATACGGAAATAATAATTCTTAAGTCTATAACTAAGTGCAACGCTATTCGCGTATTCTTAAACCTGGAAATCAATGTTCAGCGGTCACCCACAACACCAAAAAATAACTAACATTTATTTACTGTAGGTCCATAAACTATCCATTAGCTGGAGATTTGTATTTATATTAGTGGACAAATAATTATGTTAAACAGTATCAATTTAATATTATTCCAAATTGATTACGTTACCATCATATTCGAGTTAATAAGCCATGCTATATTGATGAACACTATTTCTTTAACATTGAATCCTGCACCCAAAACTGAACAAGTTGTAGCCAATATTCGAATCTGAAATTCACCAAAAATTAATTTTATATATTACAAATATTATCTATATATTACATCAATTTACAAAAAAAACCAAGTGTAGTAAAACTATGAATCAAATAATTAAAAAATTATAGTTACTTATTATTAAATAACTTTTATGAGCCTAATTTAAAATATACAAAAGTAGAATTAATTGTATGAATATTATTCAAAAGTAGCAGTCTCATTGGTATTTTAATTTCGTATATTATTAATAGTCATTGAAATACAATGTGTTTTTTTATTTGTTATACAATATTCGTATAGTGTATATGAAAATCGAAATATTTGTTACGGGTTGGCTTAATCATTCGTCAAGCGGTTTTTTTTTAAATTAAAGAGGATATCACTAGCAGTGATATATGGTCGTATAATCAGGAACTGATAAATATATTAAAAACTATAAAAAATTTGTCTTTTTTATATTTTCATTTGATTTTTTTGNTGTCTTTTTATTTGTTATATAATATTTGTATAGTTTATATGAAAATCGAAATATTTGTTACGGGTTGACTTAATCATTCATCAAGCGGTTTTTTTTTTTAAATTAAAGAGGATATCACTAGCAGTGATATATGATCGTATAATCAGGAACTGATAATTATATTATAAACTATAACAAATTTGTCTTTTTTATATTTTCATTTGATTATTTTGACTATCAAATATATAGAGTATATGCAGTATGCCTGTGATTTCTCAGCAAAATTTTGAGAGTATACGGCTTATGTGTATTATGTAGTATGTAGTTTAACCTATGGGAGCATCACTGTACGAGCGTAGGTGCACTCACTGTTTTTGGAGGAAAGTTTGGAAAGTTTGATACAGACGCGAACATAATGTATAACTGTAAGCAACGATACAAAATTTCAAACGAAAGAACGATTCGGAACGTAGTTCAGTTGCCTAGTGTTGCTTTGTCAACAGAAAAATATGTAGTATATGTCATATTATGGTAAAATGGTTATAACAATGTGTGTTCCCGTGACAATTATAGTTGAAACAAAATTTAAGTAATAAAAACTTCACAATAACAAAAAATAGAAAAAAATAGTTTCCAATGAAATTGTTATTTTTAATCTTTCAATTATTTTTAACCTCTAGAAGCAGTTTTTCTTCATTATCTTGAATATTAATGAGAATTTCAAAAAGTTACCTCACTAAAGTACTATTTAGTGAACATTTCCTTTTAGAAAAAGTGCCGTACTTGATAATCTGAATATGCTTTCCGGTAGAAAAAGTATTCACATACAAAAAAAAAATATAAATATTGTAAAATCAATACATTCCTCGCATCACTTAGAATCTACAATAAATAGTAATAAATACAATAACAACTTCAAAAAAAACCGTCTATCTGATTTCATTGTGGTTTATTGTTGGCTTGAAATATGATACTTCGGCGTGAATAAAAAAGAACATAAAACTTTGCGCTGTACTGGGGGAGTAGGTGAAAGGTGAAAACGTGTAAAACGTCATCGTTGAATCGAAGAGTGGAGTTCAATTAATAGTGTTGTTATGTCAAAAATGTATATGCCATGTTCAGTTAACAATAACATTGGCATTTTTTTTTTTAAATATTGAAATCTTGAAATTGTATATTTTCCTAAATTATTTTCTGTTTGAGTTTTTTTTTTCTTTTTTGAAAATTGCGTTGAAAATCAATCTACAAGCCTTGACATATCACTAATTAGGCTACACGTAAAAATCGGAGCAAATTTACTAGAAATAAACGTTTATGCAGACCAAAAGAATAAAAGAAATGATTTCTTAAAAATACTAACTAATATTAATATTGAATAATTTAGTTTTGCTGATGACACAATTAATTTATTAACTGACAAATCAATTTATAACTTATTTCATGAGTCTAATAAA